CCCCCCCCCCCCCCACATCCCTAAACAGGAGAGCTCTGCTCTGCCCCAGCCCAGAGGCTGGTGGGGACCCAAGTTGCACAACCTCACCCTGAGCGGGGTGAGCCTATGGCCAGATAAATGTGCAGCTTCTGGCTGTTCTGTCCCGAGGCCTCCCCAGGTCAGACTCTGGACAGGCAGCTGCTATCCAGGTGGGTCCAAGGCTGGGACTTAGGAACTGGCTGGTGCGGGCCCAGCCCTTCCCCATGAGCTGTCCCTGTGTGCGGAATGGGTGTCACCCTAACCCTCTCCAGCAACTCCCGACTCCCGAGGGAGCCTGTGTCTGGGAGAGGGGAAAGGCACCGCTCTGCTCTTTCTGGGCATTCTCCCTCGGAGGAGGCCGTGCCAGGCCTGATGGTCCCCTGTCCTGCTGTCCGTCTGTCCCATTCCCACAGGCTGATTCTCCCTTCACTTCCAGGGCACGGATGGAGCAAAGGGAGAGAAAGGTGCATCCGGTGACAGAGGCCCTAGCGGCCTGCCTGTAAGTGTCGTGAGCCTTGTTTGTCCCCAGAGGGTGACACCATGTAACCGTCACTCTTTCTGACCCACTTCTTTCCCGCCCAGGGGCCAGCCGGCCCACCAGGCCTTATTGGGTTACCAGGAACCAAAGGAGAGAAGGTAACACCCTCCCTGGGCCCACTACAGCCACATGCCCATGCGCCCCCAGCCTCTAAGGCTCAAGCCCCAGACCTCACCAGTCTCTGCCCTCACAGGGAGGACCTGAGCCCCAGAGTCAGCCTCCCTGCACCACATGGGGTCCATGCATGGGGCTTGGGTTCCCAGCAGCTGTGTCCCCAACGCCCCCTCAGTCCTCATACCTCTCTGTCTCTCCCCAGGGCAGACCCGGGGAGCCAGGACTTGATGTAAGTTTTCCATGGTTCCCTGTAAGCACCTGGGTCCCTCCTGTGTTTACCCTCTGCCCTCCTGTCGCTCACACAGTAACCTGGTCTGGCCAGCACGAGTGTGGCCCCTGTCCCAGGGCTCCGTGTCCTCAGTGCCAAGTCCATGCGCAGCCCAGAGCAGGTGCTTTGTGGATGGATGGCGGATGGGCCGTGGATGGAGGCTGGAGACCTGGTGTCTGGCTGGGAGGACGAGTGAATGGATGGACGCTAGGTGGATGAACGGAGGCAGGATGGACGGGCGCGGGTGAGGGATGATGGGGGAGGCACGGTAGCAGGGAGGTAGCGGGGACGTGGGGAGGGTAGTGGGGATCTTGTAGCCACGCCTTGGTGAGAATCATGAGGCTTTATCTGGGCCACTATTGCAGGCAGGAGAGGAAGGCAAGCGACAGCCTAGTGCTGATGTATCGGGCTTCCTTCAGTAGAACAGCATAAACAAACATGGTTTAAAGTGACTCATGACTGAAAAGTCCAGAGCTTAACCTTCACATCAGGGCACGACTATGCCAAAACACCCCAGCCTTTAACATGCGCCTCTGTTTTCCCTGTGAGAATCACTGGAGGGCGCACAGCCAGCAGCTCCACACCTGGCCTCCCTGGGCGCAGGTCCAGACGGGTAATACCAGCCTCGCCCTGGTGGACTCTTGGCTCCTCTGGGCCCGGGCGGCCCACACTGAATGCCACTTGGCTGCAGGATTTTAGTGCCCAGCCCAGGGTGGGGGCCGTGGACGGAGAGGGAGAGTGGCAAGTCGGGTAGCACTTGGGGGAACAGTGACCAGTTGTAAGGTTGCAGCTCTGGTGCCACCCGAGACCTTGGGCCAGGGAGGCGCAGTAAGACCACACTGGAGAGAGGCCATCCTGGACTCCTGGCCTGGGAGGCGGCCCCTCCTTCACCAGAGCCAGCTGAGTCCCTGTCCCCAGCCAAGCCCTGACTGGGGCTGAGTGCCTGGTCTGCACAGGTGTGAGGCCGTGTGTGCAGGCACCACTGTGGTCTGTGGAGGGGGCAGAGCTGCTACCAAGCTGAAGCTGCAAGCTGTGCCAGGCACCTAGTGGTTCACACACACACACACACACCTCACCCAAAGGCTGGGGCCCCGCAGTGTGAGCCTTGAGGCATACAGCAGGGAGGGGGTCTAGGTGGACGGGGCAGAGCCCTGCCCTGCACTCAACCTTTAATCTTCCCGTCAGGGCTTCCCGGGACCCCGAGGCGAGAAAGGTGACCGGAGTGAGCGTGGGGAGAAGGTGAGGGGTCCGGAAAGGAGGGAGGGGTGGGGAGGCCGAGGAGTGGGACAGGGCCCGGCAGCAGAGCAGCGGCTGAGAAGGAAGCTGCAGGCTGGCCGCCTGGCTTCTCTGAGAGTGCGGAAGGGTCCCGAGGCCAGGGTGGCAGCCGCCCACCACCTCGTTCTCACGCAGGGGGAGCGAGGAGTCCCTGGCCGGAAAGGCGTGAAGGGCCAGAAAGGAGAGCCGGGGCCACCCGGCCTGGACCAGCCGTGTCCTGTGGTACGTGTCGGAGCAGGGCAGCCCTCAGTCGGCCTCGCCTTCCATCCCTGGGCTTAGCTGCAGGTCCCGTGGCGCTGGGCCCCACGGCCACCCCCACCATCAGCGTTCCTCCCCTAGTCACGTCTGGGGGCACAGCCTCCTCTCTGAGACGGACACCCTGCCGGGTCCACGTTCCCTTCCTTCCTCAGCCCGGGTGGGCTAGCACAAGTGGGGACCCAGCTCAGAGGGGCCGAGCCAGGAGTGGAGGCCCCTGCCACAGCCCTTTCCTCCCCCGCCTTCCCTGCCCCCTCCCAGCAGCCCACCAGGTCATGCCTGGCCCAGCCAGAACCTGCACCGTCTCGCAGTGGATAGGAGTGTCCAGGGCAGCTCAGCCCAGACAGGAAAACGAAACAGCTGGATGTGTGCACCGGACCACCCAGTGCCAGGGACCCTGCCTGGTCCTCTGGCCTCCAAGCCTCAGTCCCCCCCTGGAGATAGGAGAGCCCCGTGACAAAAAGGCCCAAAGGACAGTGAGGAGGGCACCCAGAGAAGCCAGACGGCCAGGGAACAGTGCGGCCCAGTTCTCACGGCCAGCTCCCTGCCCACCTCTGTCTGCACAGGACCACCCCCAGTACGGAGGCAAGCAGGGGCTACCTGGCTCCAGGGGCCCAGCGAGGGGCAACAGGCCCTGCCCTGTGGTAGGCGGTGTGCTCTGCAGTGTGCTGTGTGCCTCTGGGGCTTGGGGGCTGTGTGTCCAAGGTTCTGTCCCCTCCCCTCTGCCCCTGCCTGCCAGCCCATTCTGCCCTGTGCCCTTTCCCCTTAGTGCCCAGCTGGCCCCAGCTGTGCTCCTGGGAGGCCCGGTGCCATGTGTCTATGGCTGTGCCTGGCTTTGGAATGCAGTGGAGTGGTTTCTGCCCTGGCCTCTCCCAGGGACTCTGTTGTGTTCCCAGCAGCTCCCCGGCTGTGGGCACCACTGTGCCCGACAGCTCTATCCCTATGCCAGTGTCCACCCTGCGCTGCACAGGCCAGGGCTGGAGGAGGCGCCACCCCCTGAAATCTGCTTCAGATACTCTTGGGGGCATTCCTGCCCACGGCAAGAGCCACTGTCATGGGGCCAGGGCCAGGCACTCCTGGCAGGCCAAGGTGTCCTCCTGCCTCTGCCACTGCACACATGTCCTGACACAGGCCAGGACAGGTACAGGGAGCAGCCGGCAGCTCCTGGGCATCTTTCTCCCTGCACATGGGTGGAGTGTGGGGGCAGAGTGACTGGGCTCCTGTCCCTGTCACTTACCCCTCCTTCCTCTGCAGGGACAAGACGGGCTGCCTGTGCCGGGCTGCTGGCATAAGGTACTGTGGGGGCTCGGTGGGGCAGGTCTGGAGGGATGAGGCAGCATGTGGGGTTGATAGCTGGAGCAGAGGGACAGAGAGGGCCCTGGGGACGGGTGGGGTGCCATCACCTGGAGCTCTGGGTGTCTGTAGCACCCCACAGTGGGTGCGGACAGCCGGCAACAACCGGCCGTGTGTGTCCCATTGCGTGGCTAAAGCGGGGGTGGGGGGAGTGGACCCAACTGTTGTGCGCCGGCCCTACTGGTCACGTGGGGCTCATGGTCACCTGGCACAGCCAGCGCAGAGCCACCAGTGCCAAGTCCCCTGAGAGGCGGGGAAGCGCAGGTCACAGGGCATCTCGGGGCCCTCTTCACCTGAGGTCTTTCCTTCCCTTGCCAGTGATCCCAGGCCCAGCTCACAACTTGTACAGATCCGTGTGAACCTTTTTAATTTCTGTAAAAACAGAACAGTAATATATTGATCTTTCATGGAACACACCGCTGTGGCCTGTAAACCTGGTGAGTGCCACCCAGCCCAGCAGGCAGCATGCAGGACAGGTGCACTTGCAGCCCTGCAGGGCTCTGCTTGCCCAGGAAGGAGACGACAGTGACCGCGCCTGCGTGGTTGGGCTTCTGGTCACTGGACGAGCAGACTTTGCCGGCCACTGTGCCCCCAACGCCAGGAGTCCGGCCATACCGGATCGAGCCAGACCCACTTGGCGTGCTGCTCTGCCCTCTCCAACTCCAGACCTCGGCCGCAGCTGGCCACCTGGACCCTGGTTCACCAAAGCACTTGGCACCGGGCCAGTAGGTGAAGAAAGCACCACGCTGGTCTGGCTTCCTCTGGCAGCAGCAAGCAAGGCCCAGACGCGGAGCCACCTGCGGGGCAGACTCCCAAGGCAGGGGATGGAGAGCCCCTCCTGCGGCACCACTTCCTGCCTCACCACTTCACTCCTGAGGGGAGGCCCCCACCCGGGAATGGGTCAGCCTGGCAGCAAGGTGCAGGGGGGCTGGCACAAGGCTGGCCCCTGCAGGTCTGCGGGGATCCCCTCCTCTGTGTAACCGCAGTGCTCGCTCGTGGGATGAACACCACCCGTGTCTGCTGTGCCTGTCCTTGCGGTTGGCCCTGGCCGCTTCTGGCACAGAGCGCTGGAGAGACAGGGACACTTTGGTATCAGAGCCAACCCAGAATCAGAGGAGGAAGTGCAGGATTGGGCTGAGACAGGATAGGAAGACAGCTCCACATGGGCCTGCCACAATCAGCACAGTCCTTGGGCCTGTTGCTCCCTGTCACTGAGCTCAGGCCCTGTGGCTTCCTCTACTCTTGTTGCCAGTGAATGCTGCATGCCGATCACCCCAAAGCTTGTTGCCTTAAAATATGGCCAAGGGTGATGGCACACACCTGTCATCTCAGCACTCAGGAGGCTGAGGCAGGAGGATCACAAGTTCAAGGCCAGCATGGGTTACACAGTGAATTCAAGGTCAGCCTGAACTGCATAGAGAAACCCTGTCTCAAAAAAATTTTTTGTTTCCTGGGGATTAATGGACTCAGATGGGTAGTTCTCACTCAACTGCCCACATCTGCTAGCTGATGCTGCCGGTCCACTAGGAGCAGGACTACCAGAACACCCCTGGGGTGCTACTCCTCACTGCGTGGTGGATGGATAGAGGGTGAACAGATCAGGTGGGCCCGGGGAAGCTGTCACCTCTTAGGACCAAGCCTAAAAAGTCCTATGGGGTCCCTGCCCTTGAGAGGTCCAGCCCAGTGGTAAGGGAGGCAGGCCCCTTCTCAGGACACTTAGGGAGAAAAGATGGCAGCGAGCTGCTCTCGCCCAGGGGGAGGTGGGAAAAGGATGGAGCCAGACGGGGCGAGGCCGGCAAAGGCGGGGCCGGGCCGGAGCCTCCTGTGGCATCTCCTCCAGCGTGGCCTCCCTGCCCTCGGGAGCCACACGGCCTGTGGCGTGTCACTGTGGCCCCTCCTTTCAGGGACCGATGCTCGTGGCGAGCGCCTGGATGGGGCGGCGAGGCGTTTGGCAGAGCGCGACCTCACGGGGCAGCCCCAGGACGCCCGCGCCTGGCAGGCAGGTCTAGGAGCCAAAGCCGCTGCTGCCCTCTGCGGCCTCATACATTTTCTCGAGCCTTCAAACCACCCTGCAGCGCCTGCGGCCAGGGAGGTAGATTGTCCCAGGTCCCAAGCCAGACAAGGCACCCTCCTAGCCCTGCAGCTGAGCCCGGAGGGCGGAGAGCCCTGGGCTCCCTCACCACCCTTCCGGAAGGGACAGCGGCACATTTGCTGGTCTTGCTGTGTGTTGTGACACCTAAACGAAGGCAGGAGCACAGTCCACCCCTTTTTTCAGTACTGAGGGTTGCAGCCAGGGCCTCCACACTGGGCTGCATTCCCACTCCATTAAAAAAATTTTTTTAAATTTTGGGACAGGGTCCTGCTAAGCTGCCCAAGCAAGGCTCAACCTTTTGATCCTCCTGCCTCGGCCTCCCAGATTGCTGAGATTGCACACGCACGGACGCGCACATGCACGCACACACACTCGCGCCCTCAGAGCTGGAACTGCAGGGCGAGAAGACAGGGAGGGCACTGAGCAAACCCAGGTCCCCTTCACACGAGGAAGGACGCGAGGCCACAGCAGCCCAGCTCTCGCGGCACGCGGGAGGGTCCCCCGGGTCGTGTAGAAGGGGGTTCATCTTGGTATTACAAATCGCAAAACCAAAGTCCTGCGGCCAGTTACACAGTGGGATATTACTTGGTGCCACGGAACTGTACCTTTACGACGGTTAGCGATCGATGTTATGTATATTCTACCACAATAAAGAACACGAGGTTATGAGAATGCTTTAACCAGTGCCTCGAGCGTGTCCGCCTTACGGGGAGAAACCCGAGGAAACCCAAGGAGGGCGAGGCCCGCGCCCCGCTCTACCCCGCTTCCCGCACCCGGCCCGGGGGCGCCTTCACTCTCAGTCCACACCGCACGGGTCCCTCGGCGTC